TCCTTCTACCCGGTCCGACCTTTCTTCTCTTACGTGGCGAGCACCAATACTGAGGTTCCTCCTCACTTCCGGCAGGCAGGTCCAATCCGAGCCTTTTAGGGCCTCGTCTAGCCGTAAGAGCGTTCCACGCGAATCGTTCCTCCCGAGTGGTAATTTTCTGGATTCCGGCCTCTTCCTTTCAAGAGAGTTGGGGCTCTCAATTAGTTCGCGAGTGCAGTTATGAAGACCTTGCAATTAGTCCCGAAACAGTTGTAATGTTCCGGCAGGGCAGTGTCAATGCCCCATGGTCGTGACGGACTCCACCCGGTACCTTCGCCCGGCCTCTCCCCTTGGACAGTGCCACCCAACTTAGCGAGGGCAGCCGCGGTCCGACCCAAACGGCCATGGCACCCCTCTATGACATGGCGTGTGGTTGGAGAATGGCAAAATAGACTAGATGAGAATGGCTCTGTCGCCCTTTGACGTTTAGGCGTTCAACAGGAGGCGCAATTTTAACTCCCCGACTAGAGCTCATTGTCGGAGGTGGTTCCGGACGTCCCGCACCGATCCAAGTGGTAGGTACCTTAGTCCCTTAACCCTCATCCTCTCGAAGAGGAACAAGTCGCGTTGAGACTTTTTCCCTTAAAGGGATAGAGGTCTTGGGGTCGCGGTGCATGCACCGGTACCCCCCTCTTGCTGAGGCCAAAGACTAGAAGAAAAGAGAAATTCCATTTCAATGCTCTTTCCAAGTCCATTTCAAGTTGCCTAGGGTCCCCTGTTTATGCAGTGCAATTTTCAATACTCAATCCAATTCCAATGCTCAGTCTCATTTCCATGCTCAATCGCATTCCAATGCTCAATCCAGTATTCCTTCCGAGGTTGAGTCCAAGATCTTTTCCAAGGCTGAGTCCACTATCTTTTCCAAGGCTGAATCCACTATCTTTTCCAAAGCTCAGCTCTTTCCAATATCTCTTTCAAAGCTCAACTCTTTCCAATATGTCTTTCAAAGATGAGCTCTTCCAATATCTCGTTCAAAGCTCAGCTCTTTCCAATATCATGCATCTCAAGCAGCCATGCAAGGGGACCCGAGTGCCAATTCCAAAGAATGACCCTTGTCAGGGGCCATTCCGAACATCCTGGTTAGGATTATTCTTCTTTTCCAATCTCGAGCTTTGAACAGCCTGGTTAGGGTCATTCCTATTTCCATTCCATACTCATACTTGAATAGCCTGGTTAGGGTCATTCCCTATTTCCATTCCCTTCTCAATACAAGCGCCCGAGGGGGTGGGATGAGGGAGGCTCGGATCCGATTGTCAGTTGGGGGGGGGGTAGGTGGTGGCCATTAGTTTGAGTGTGCTATGCCTTTTCTTGCTCCACTTTTCTTTATCTTTCTCATACATCCGACTTAGTGTCTGGCTCGCGGCGGGACTCATCCAGCCTTTAGCAATGCTAGCCCGCCCGGTCGTTCAATCATAGCTACAGGTCTCATGCATATTGATGTTGCGAACTGGACTCCGTCGGATTAGGCTCCTAGGGGAAAGCATTGTCGTGCCGTTCTACCCGTAGGTTCCCTAACCTCTCTTAACAGGACACCATCGTCATTCACACATGTGGCTGTACATTCTGAGAGACTCATTGTGTCTGTAGCCAGGCCCAAGTCCTTCCAATCCAACCAGTATCACAATTTGTTGAGAAGACAGAAACCGAATTACAGATGTTTAAATAGCAAAGAGAGAGCCTCCCTATGTTCGAATCCCCAATCACACTCTCCTTCGTCTTTGCCAAACTCCGAAAAAGTAGTTGATACTCAAAAAGTTGTCTCTCCTCTCATCTCCCAGCTTGCCCTCATGTCTTTTAGCAAGTTTCAGGTCAGCAGGCATTGTTTCACACAAAGTCCCACATCCTTGCCTTGACTAACTCTGTTTCTAGGAAGCTACTTAACAAAATACCACCCCCGCCTTTCTTCCTGATTGGTTTGTCGAGTCCCAGCGCCCCTATTTTACATCCAACCGTGCCATCCAACCCCAGTTTGCCAACCCTTAATTCCCAGTATCTCGATCCGTTCTTTGACGCTTAGCGCCCCTGCCCTCCTCTGTCTTTGGTGACGGTGCCACCCCCAGCCCGTAGGTCCGTATCTCGTCCAATGTAGCCTTCATATCATGTAATGTTTCTTTTGAGAAAAAGTCCGTTGGCGTGACCCTCTCCCCAGCCGCCATGAGGCTACGGGCTATAATAATCCAGTCATGTCTGAAAGTGCTGGGCCACACCTCGAACCAATGACTGGGTGTGGGGCCGAATACCTCCTCCCAATCATGGACCTCCTCTGAAGCCCTGCTTGTTGATGCCTGTCCTTCCGGCCTGGGCCTTGAGACCCTATCCATCTCGTCATCGCTACTTACAATTACAATCTCCGGAATGTCCTCCCCTGTCTCACCGTCATCTTCTGTGGATCCCTTAGCGTTTTTCCGGCTTCCCTGCCCAGGTTCTTCCTTGTGCTGGTCCTCTGTCCCTTTTTCTTCCCTCCTTTCCTCCCGTTCTTGCTCACTTTCATCCTCTGGCCAGGCTGGGAGCACATCGCCTTCTTTTGTAGGGGAGGGTCTACGGGCTCGCATCTTCCTTTTTCCCGTCCTCACAGGGGGCCGGGGTTGCGGTCCTATCACGAGCACCGGTCTGTTTCTGTTTTGCGGCCTCTCTGGTTGCCGCCATGGGTCATCAACATTGAGGTTTGCTTGATTAATATCGTTCTCGTTGTTGGGTGCCATCTTGGTCCGCCGGACTTCTATACCTGACAGGCAGGACACAAGACAGGAGAAAGCCCCAACCCATTCCCTTGTGACACTCATCCCAGGCTCTGCCCACACGTGTCCCCCAATCCCAGTTGCTCCCACGGAAACAGAAAGGCATGAAGAAGAAAAAAAAGGAGGAACAGCCGACCACCTCGCCCCTTTTTCCCAACGCCCCTCCAATGCCATGTCTTATGGTACAATGTCCCATCCCCCATTGCTCATCCCAGCATCCCACATAAACTATGATACAGAAAACCCCCGCCGAATCGCATGTTTTCCCATGCGACTCGTGCACACCCAGGCCGTCAAAAGGAAAGAAACGCAAAAAACAAAAGACAACAACCAGAAGCACGAGCGATAAGTAGGCCTCTTGCCGCTGTCCTGAGCGGCCTTAGTCTTCCGCCTCCTTATCCTGGGCTTCTTGCAGCCATTGTTCCACCGGATCCCTAGTGAGAAACCTGACCAGTCGTTGCGCAGGGACTGGCCCCCTTATAGTGATCCCATCCAGGTTCTCAATCTCAAACGTGCTCACATCCAACTTTCTTGCAATGCGGTAAGGTCCCTTGAATCGCCGCCCCAACTGGCCTGACCATGTAGTTTCTAGTGCCGAATTTCTGACTAGGACCATCTCCCCGACCTGCAGAGGCTCCTTCCGGATGTTCTTCAACTGGTCCCACCTGGTTTTGTCCTTCATGCGACTGTCTAGTACCTTGTGAGCTATTTCTTCCAAGGCCTCCTCGTTCCTGGCCGCTTGTTCACACCTTGCCTCAATCAATTGTTCCGTAGTCAGATGAGGGTCATCTTCCAATTTGTTCCAGGTCGGTACTAGGGCTTCTACTGGAAAGTCAATCTCCCTGCCATACCATAGCTTTGCCGGGATGCATCCCGTGGTCCTTTTTGGTGTCATATTCTCGGCAAATACCGCGTGTCTGAGATAGTCCGGCCAGTTCCCAAGGTCATCTGCTGCCAACTTTGCAATCGTGTTCTTAAGCCTTTGGTGCCCTCGCTCGACTGGCGCGTTGGCCTCAGGGTGGTATGGTTCTGTCAATTTGATCGGTACGCCAAGCCTCTTGCAGGTATTTAGGACGTCCTGGTTTACAAACTCAGTCCCATTGTCGGCTATGAATCTCCTGATGAACGGGTGCCTCAGATAAAAGTCCTCCACCCAGTGTGCAACTGCAAACCCAGTTTTCTTCTTGAGCGCGGTTGCCTCGACAAACCCACTGAGGTTATCCCTTGCATCAAGTATGTACCTGTACCCTTTTCTGGAAACCGGCATGACTGCCAGGTCGAGATGTACCATATGCTCTGGCCCCAACACGCGGGTGGGTCTAAGGGGCTCGAAAATGCGGACCGTGCTTCGTTCCTGGCAGATTTTGCAGGTCTGGCAGTACGTGGCTACCATAGATGCCATTCCCGACCAATAATAGAGCGGCGTTATCTTGGCTAGGGTCCCTTTGGATGAGCGATGGCCACCGGCCAATCCGTCATGCATGGCCTGAATAATGTCGAGCTGTCGCATCCTTCCACAGACTACTCTCATGGGTGTCAGGCCTTCCTCCTTTCGGAATAGGTGCCCCCTTCTAAGCACATACCTATCCGCTTCCTCCCTAGCTTTAGGACTAACCTCGCGGGGTTCCTTGTTCCCCACCAGTAGCAACCCAATTTCTCTGAACAAACCTTCATATAACTTGATGAGGAAGAACTGCTCTTCTTCCTGAGTACCTGTCCGATTATTATCCACCTGATAGGCCTGATAGTGCTGCATTTCCAGCTCCTGAGACTCCATCATGCTCATAACCCTTCTCCAGCCTCCCTCAACGGCTAGTGCGATTTGTTCATCCCGGGGCTTCCTAACACTGCCCCAAGCGTCCTTCTCTTCCCTCCTTCCAACTCTGGTGACCGTACCTTCCCTTAACTCGGCAACCACTGCCGGAGGCCCCTTTTCGAGTGCTTTGATCAATAGCTCCCCAGTTGTGCAAGTGGTTCCGACCATCTCGCTGTCTACTACCAGCGTCCCGCCCTCGTAGTCGAGGAACGCGTCGATCGGCTCTGCCTCTTCTAGCCCTTCGGGTGTGAGGGCCACCCTGCTCAGTCCGTCTGCTCGATCCCTAAGGTCGTCTATGTGCTCAATCTTAGAGTCGAACTGCCCGATAAATCCTACCTATCTTCCAACAGTCGGGTCTATAGGCTTATAGTTCTTCAGGGCCCCGGCGACATTGGTTGGGTCTATCCTCAGGATAAACCTCCTCCTGAAGAGGTAAGCCTGAAAGGTCTTAAGGCAATGCAGTATCGCAAGTACCTCCTTCTTGAACTGAGAGTAGCGCCGCTCAGCCGAATTGAGCGTCCTACTCTCAAATCTGATCGGTCGCTCTCTACCATCTTCGCCTTTTTGAATTAGCACCCCGCCGACTGCCATTGGTCCTCCATCTGTCTCAAGGATGAAAGGTCGACCGACCTCGTCGTTGAAACACGGAGCGGCAAGGGTGAATTCTTCGGATGTGAGAATATTTTTCAGGGTCTGGACGGCCGATTCCCTTTCCTCAGTCCAATCGAGCGTGCCTTCTTCACGGATCATGGCTCGAATCGGTTCCGCGATCTTTGCGAACCCTTTTATGAAGATTCTCCAAAAGCCTACCACCCCCAGGAATGCCCTGACTTCTGTTGTAGTTCGAAGGGGCGTAGTCCAGTGTGCTATCTTATCGGTCTTAGCCGGATCCGGCTTCCTTCCATAGGCCCCACAATGAAATCCCAAAATTGTGACTTCTGGAACTGCCAAGATACTCTTCGGACCACTAGCGGTTATGTTGTATTCTAGGAATCTTCGCAGCAGCTCTCTAATATCCTGCAGGTGGTCCCAAACAAACTTTCTTATCCCCGGCTGGACTTCGGTCTCATCCTTCTCCCGTGCTCCTTTGACAGGGTTGTCGTCAATGTACGGCTCACATTTGTCTGGGAACATGTCCCCGGCCACCGCGAGCATCCTCCTATGTGCCTCTGCTACCGCATTAGTAAATCCCATAGGCGTGACCTGCATCTGTAACTGTCCTAGTGGCGTATGCATAGCCGTGTAGGGCCTATCTCGTGCGTCCAGCTGGAGCTGGTCGTATCCTGAGTATAGATCTATCAAGGAGTAAATATTGTGTCCGGCATGGGATTCGGCCAGGAGATCTGCCTGCGGCAACGATCCCGCATCCCGGATGGTGACAGCATTTAACTTTTGCAGGTCCTGAATCCACCTAAGTGACTTGTTGGGCTTGCGGAATACAAACCACTTGTTGGCATAAGGAGACGCGGTGGGTTCTGCCACGAAGGAGTCCATTTTTGCCCTAAGGAGCTCCGTCACTTCTCCTGCGATCCCAAAGTCGTAGGCCGGTCCCT